TGGCCCAGGACCAGGACATCCCAAGAGCCCCTACGCCCGGCCCTGAAGGCACCAGAGCGAGAGAGCCGAAAGGAAGGTCCGCAGGGAGGAGAGGCCTTTACTTGGACTTGGAGACAGCCAAGCCAATGAGACCAGCCAGGCCAGCAACGCCCAGGGCCATGCCGCCCACGATGGCCATGCCCACCAGGCCGTCTGTGGAGAGAGCACAGGGTTACTGGGGGGACAGACCGCCAGGTAGGGGGTGGCCAGCCCAGCAGGGTGGACGAGATTCCCTGACCTTTCTGCATGGCCTTGTTGATGAGCTTCTCCAGCTCCAGCGCCTGCGTGTTCTGTGGCTCTGTCTTCAGCAGTCCCCGGATGTACTTCAGCGCCTTCTCATACTCCTGGGATCAGAGTGGGGAGGAAGATGTGAGGGAGGTTGGACCATCGAACCCTGCCCTCAGCCCCCCACCACAGCTCTTAGCCCAGCGGGTGTTCCTCACTCCAGACCCAGTCCCCACTGGGCCCAATTGGTGCCCCTCACTCCCAACCCACAGCCCCCCTGGGTCCTGCCGTTGTCCCTCCCTCCCAACCCGCAGCACCTCCCAACAGCTAGTGCCCCTCACTCCTGACCCCCAACCCTGGCTCCCGCCCCCCACCGCACCGCCTTCTCCCCCAACCCCGGGCACTGTGCCCAAGGCCACCCGCCCTTATCTTGGCCCTGCTATCAGGTTTAATGAGCTCCTCAGAGTCCATAAATTCCTGATAAGGGGCCCGGGAATGAAACCAAGGCCTTTTCCCTTGGCACATTCGCAGGGAAAGTCTTGGCCTTGGTCTTGGTCCAGGATGCCCTAGTCCTGCCTCCCACCCCCTCATGATCCTGATACCCCACGGCTTCCCCTCACCTTCAGGCGGTAGTTGGCCACAGCCAAGTAGAAGATGTAATCACGCTGCTCCTCCTTGCTCCCTTTGGGCATCAGCTCTGCAGGGTGCAGGGGACCCCGTCACAAGGGAGGAGCGACCCTGGGCCCCCCGGCACGGCTGGGTCCAGCACCATCAGCTCCGCAGGGTCTTAGTACTGCCCTGAGACCCCATCCCCATCCCACTGGGGGGTCTCAGGGCTGGCGATGCCTGCCCTGCCCCAGGCCCCATGCCCAGCTCACGGGAGCAGGGCCAGGCCGCCTCACCCTCGAGCAGCACAGTCCCCTTGCGGATATCATCTGTGTACTTGCTGCGCACCAGGCACCAGGCATACTCGAACTGCGTCCCCCGCGACACCGTGCCCTGGCTCTGCTCTGCTGCGAACTTCTTCTCGAACCGCTGCAACAAAGGGAGTGGGGGAAAGAGGGTCAAGGTGAAGACAGGAACAAGTCGTGACAGAGACCCCTGCCTTATCCCCTTAATGACCCCTGACCCCTCCAGAACCCCCTGTCCAGTCCCCAAACACCTCT